GGCCATCTGCAACCAAAAAGAGAGAAAGGCCAAACCCAGATTTTTGAAACAAAAGGGGCAAGAAACTAATAAGTGATAATAGCTCTCACCATTCTTCTTGCATAAGATGCACCAGTGTGGGGATAAACACCGATTAGGCCTTTTCTTTTGAAGTAGGTCACAAGTGTTACACTTTTCTAGGATAGCCTCCCAACAAGGAGGAATTGGTCTACCCCAAACTTCTGAGACCAGGAAAGGAGAACCAAGGATCAGATTGGACTGTGTTAATTTTTTGAAAAAAGAAGAGCAAGAGAAAGTACCCGACAGAACAAGAGACCACACCCTACTGTCCACTCTAGAGGGGTTAATAACTACCTCCTCCAGAATCTTAAGCAAGTTAGAGATGGTGTCCAATTCAGAATCTCTGAGAGCCCTTCTAAAACCCAGATTCCAATTAACTGCGGAATCAGACAAAGTAAGAAAGGTAGCAGGCTCATTTTTAAACCTTGAGAGGGAAAACAGAGAGGGGAACTGCTCTTTCAAAGGAATGTTTGCCACCCAAATATGTTCCCAGAATCTCACAAACATACTAGAATAAAGATCATACCTGATAAAAGGAAGAAATGAAGGAAGGATGGCATGAATAGACTTCCAAGGAGATGCCCTTGTAGCCCTAGATGAGATCCCCGTGTCCCAGCCGTCTGCCTCTTGCCCGTGAATACTTAGGATTATTTTAGCCCACAAATTCTCCCTTTCTTTATTCAATCTCCATAACCATTTCCCCAAAGAGCTTCATTCTTCTTCTTTAAGTTACCCACACCCAGACCACCATCACTTTTGGCTTTTGTAACCAAGTCCCACCTAACTCTATGGTCCCTTTTCTCCTCCCCTGGTTCTCGTAAGAAATCCCTCATTAATTTCTCCAAAATCCTACATACTCCCTTAGGAATTCTAAACACAGACAGAAAGTAAATCGGGAGATTTGCCAAGGTTGGCTTAATCAGAGTTATCCTGCCACCCAGAGATAGGTAGTTTTTCTTCCAAGAGGCTAACCTTTTTGTGAATCTATCAATCATTGGGTTCCAAAAGCTCCTCTTGGTAGGGTTATCCCCTAGTGGAAGCCCCAAATATTTCAATGGCCATTGAGCAATCTCACAACCCAAAACTTGGGCCCTTTCTTCCACCTCTCTAACACTCGTATTAATGCCTATCACACAACTCTTATCAAAGTTTACTTTTAGGTTAGTCACTTGTTCAAACACCTTGATCATCATGTTTAAATTACTAACCCACCTAATTTCCTCCCCACCACAAAATAGAATTGTGTCATCAGCAAATTGTAAATGAGTGACCGGAACCCTGTCCCTCCCCACTCTCCAATCATTTACCAATCTTCTAGCATCTGCTTTCTCATTAAGCCTCCCTAACACTTCAGCAATCAAGGTAAATAGGAAGGGGGAGAGGGGGTTGCCTTGCTTAATACCCTTAGTAGCTGGAAAATGATCTGTTACCTTGCCATTCACCAGTATAGAATAGTGGCACGTTTTCATACACCCTTTTATCCACTTGCACCACCTCTGCCCAAAACCAATAGACTCACATACTTCTTGCAATAAGGACCAATCAACCAAATCATAAGCCTTTTCCAGATCCAATTTGCATACCAGCACCTTGATTAGGGGATATGATTGTGGGAAGCACCTCTCTAATTCTTCGGGATAGCACCTTAGCAATGATCTTATAGAGGCTATGTACCAAACTTATGGGTCTAAACTCTTTAGGGTGGCAAGCTCCCTCCTTTTTTGGATATAAGGCAATAAAGGTCAAGTTCAGGCCTGGATTTATCACCCCTCCTTCAAAGATTTCTGAGAAAACACTTTGGATATCAACCTTAATTATCTCCTAGCAATATTGGTAAAAAGCCATTGTAAAACCATCAGGGCCCGGGGCATTAGATCTATCCATAGAGAAAATGACCTCCCTTATTTCTTCCAAATCAAACTCTCTTTCCAACCACTCAATCAAATCATCGGGGAGCCTAGGCCAATCCAACCTATCGATCCTTAATCTCTCATTTAGAGGCCTTCTGAATATAGATTAGTATTCCGCAATGGCTCCGACAATCTCATTCTGTTGGGTTAAATTGTACCATCAACCACCAACTTAGATATGGAGTTTTTCTTTCTTCTGCCATTAGCTATAGCATGGAAGAATTTTGTATTCCTCTCTCCCTCTTTCACCCATTGGTATCTAGATTTTTGCCTCAAATTAATTTCTTCTTTAAAAATTGTATCCTCCAGATTTTTCCTCAACTCCCACCTCACCTCTTTGTCCTTTTCCCCAAAACATCCCTGTTCTTCCTTTGCATCTAATTCCTTGATCTRGCTTATCAACCGTTGCTTCCTTTCTTCTATCCTCCCAAAGGTGAAGAGTATTCCACTCCTTAATTTTGACTTTCAGCTCTTTTAGTTTCCAGTGGAACTTCATTCCTGCCCAGTTTGCCCTCGGGTTAATTTCATTCCACCACTGCTTCACTTTTTCTTTAAAATCTGGATGCAGAAGCCACATATTCTCAAATCTAAAGGGGGAAGGACCACTATTTCCAAAATCTGCCTTGCTTAGCATAATTGGCCAATGGTCAGAGGTAACTCTTGGCAAGGCCCTTGACACCAAATCTCCCCAGTGCTCTTCCCAACCTGTGGTAAATAAGAATCTGTTTAGTTTGGAGCAAATTGGATCAACTTGGAGATTAGACCAGGTGAAATTATAATGTGAGAGGTTCAGTTCCTTGAGTTCAAAGGCATTGATAAACTCATTAAACTTTCTCATACTTGTAGTACTCCTTTGAAGTCCCCTCCTAAACACCAAGGCCCATCCCACAGACCTCTAATGTTTTCCAACTCATCCCAGAGATCATTCCTTTGCTTGTAGCCAGTAGGGCCATAGACATTAGTTAAGACCCATTCAAACCCATTTGTCACTTGCTTGAATTTGATAGAAACTGAGAATCTTCCCATTAATTCTTCCACTCCCTCCAACACTTCATCCTTCCACAAAGTGACTATCCCTCCAGATGAGCCCCAAGATGGACTCATTACCCAACTCAATCCATTTGCTCTCCACACACTTCTAGCCCCCCTTTTATCAATTGTCATGAGTTTAGATCCCTGGATTAAAAAAATATCTGGGTTCTCTTTCCTTAGGACCTCCTTTATTCTCTTTCTTGCATTCCCCAAGCCTCTCACATTCCAACTTACAATCTTCATTACTCCAATATAGTCTGCCCCGTCCTAAACCTTCTTTCCTAAGAGCCTCCTTTTCTTCCCCCACCCTTCCTCTCACTAAATTCTTTATCCCCCTCCACATCCAATTTCAGCTTCTCAACTTCACTTAGCCTTCTTTTCCTCCTTTTTCCAGCTTCATTTTTAATCTCCAAATACCTTTTCAGCTCRTTCAGATTTCACTTTGCACCCTAGCTTTTCAACAAATTAAGCTAGAGAGTCCTCTTTTTCATCTCCCTTTTTAGTCTGTATATGTCCGTCCTCTCTGTGCCTCTTGCTTTCCTTCTCCTGCTCCACCCTTCCTTCAACTATTTTGGATTCACTGTTCTTCCTCTCTACCACCTCTTCCTGCTCCAATTCCACCCTAGTCAAATTATCCAGCTCATTTATTATTAAGTTCCACATCCTCAGCTCCCTCTCATCCCCTCCTGTATCTCCCCACCAACACCACCTCTATGAGCTTCTAATCCAAGGGCCATTCGGCAAGGAAGCAGGACTGGAATGAGACAAACATCAAGAGCAGAGCGGGCGTTAGTAACCAAATCCGAAAACACAGCAATACCTGGGTCTAGAAGGATTGGACAATCAACAATTGGTTGGGTTTGACCAGTCAGCACCAGAGGATGACTTTGCAGGCCACAACCTAGACTTAATTCACCCCTGCCAGTACTTCTGAGGCTCTGCCGTTCATCCCCACCTGATATATCCATGTTTGAGATCTGGTGATTAACCGCTGTCTTCCGGCTAGTTCCTTGCCCCTCATTCAAATTCTGGCTTGAATCCTTCTCACCTGAGGTTCGATTTTCCTCCCTTGCATCCAGGTGGCACTCGGCTTCGTTAATTATCCGACTGTCTGTAGATGGTTTCAGCACTTCGTTAACATCTTCTGCCTTCTGAACGAAAAGAATAGCTGTGCTAAATGTGTCTTCCAGCTGTTCTTTACAGTCATCAGTCTGGGTCCCTGCTTCCCAATCCGTCTCTATGTCATCCTCTGATAGATCACAGCTTACCTAGCCGTCATCTTCTCCTTCAAATTCCTCTCTACTATTCCTGGAGTATGTGGGATTTGGTTTGTCTTCTCCCCTCTTCTCTTGGTCGCCTTCTCTAGGTTTAACAATTGGAAGCCATCGCATGTTCTGCCTTAATGAGTTTTGTCCACCATCGAACTGTACACTTGCAGCTGGTTTCGGCGCCTGTGGGGAAGAAGATAGACCCTTGCTAAGGTCTACCAACTCCACCTTTGATACCCGACTCACGTGACCACTTAAAGAGTCACATGAACCGCAAGTAACACCAATAGTCTTCTTGCGGTTCGACCCAGACCGACCCAGTATTAGTCCGATCGGGTCGTATGGTGTTCCAAACCTGCTCTAAATCGGCCCCTCCCTTGGTCTGACCGAGTTCCCCATTTGACCAGTTCTGCATAGGACGGACCAGCTACAGTGTTTCGTTTATTTTTAAAATTAAATTTATTTGAAACCTTTTCCATAAAAGATGCTCGGCTTCCCATACTTGACTTTTCAGCTTCCGAAGAAAATTTCTTCTCTTCTCAAGAAAAGGCTTCCTCCCCAGAAATGTTGTCGACGTGTCCATATGTCTTCTCCTTCTCGCCAAGTGTGACCCACCTCGCCACATCATCATCTTCTTCGAGCTTCTCCTTCCCATACCATTGTGACGCTTCAACTTCTGAGAGAACCCAGATCTTGTACCAGTAACCATTTGTGCACAGATGGAGTGTTCATGACACGGCTTCCGGCTTCAAACCTGCTACAAGAGAACACCCCCCATTGCCCGAACTAACTTCTCCAGGATGGATTTTTGCCATAAATGAAAGGGTAGGCCCAACAGTTTCAGTTTGAAGCTCCCATCGACAGAGGTCACCTCATTAGCCATTGGTCACCAGTTTTCGATTCTCACGACTCCTTCCTTTGTTTCCGAAATGGTAAATTCAACCGTTTCCTCTCCCACATCTAGTACTGCTTTATTTTCACTGAAAGGTATTAGAATAACAGTCCGGTGAAGCCTGAGTTTCTTCGTCACCTCCTCTAATAACCCTTTCCAATTTTTGACCTCTTTCATCGTAAAGAGGATTACTTTCTTCTCCCATTCTCCTTTCTCCCCTACCTCTGAAAATTTTGGTTCTGATATTGTGAATGCCACCGTTGGGTTATCTTGACTTTCAGCTGGCTCTTCTAAACCCAACTTTTCCAGCTTCTTCCTTCTTTCAATCATTTCCTCCTTTTTGCTGTGTCCACCGTCTACCTTCTCTTCCTGTGTCTTCACCGTCATCGACTCAGTCTCATATGTAGTATGTTAGCCATCTCAGTCCATCCTGCTCTTGTCGCCTTCAGGAATGATGATGGTTTGCTTCTTCTTTTTCTCGAACTTTTCCTCCAATGTTACAAACCAGCCTTTGGCATTTTTCCTTCTCTCTGCAACATACTCTCTCCACGGCTGTCTGAATGAAGCAATCCAGGAATCACACCAGCTTACATGGACTGCTCCATCCAGAAAACTTTGAAACCAAGGCACAGCTTCGCCCACTAGCAGAATCGTTCCTCTTCTGCCTTCTCTTATCTTTATCGTGAGATCCTTTTGGTAGAAACCTTTGGACTCCATACCTCGCATAGAAGTGAGCCAATGGTCTTTGACTACTTATTCAATATTGTCATCTTCAAGTCATGCATATTTCTCAATGTAAGAACTTTATACCAACAGTTCCAATAATGTGGTTATCCATTGGAACTATTGGATATCAAATTTTCTATTACCTTTTTTCCATAATCCATGGCAAGGGGACATTGAAGAGGATGTTGCCTGTAGAATTAGGGAGGGATGAATAAAGTGGAGAGGTACATCTGGGTTTTTGTTTGATTAGAGAATACAGTTCAGATTAAAAGGGAAGTTTATAAGATGGGTAAAAAGCCTGTAGTTTTGAATGGAACAAATTGTGGGGCAATCTTTAAGAAACACATCCATAAAATCAATATTAATGGAGATGAGGATGTTGAGATGAATATTTAGAAAGTAGAAATAATAGGTATAGAAATGGGTGTATTTGTGGGAATCTAGTGTGTAACCCCAATATGTGATAAAATGGGGAGAAGTGGACTAAGATGGTTTTGCCATGTGCATAGAAGACCAAAGAAGAAGTGATTTCATCCAAGTTGATAAAAGAGCCAAGTCAAAAAGGACATTGGTAGGTGTAGTAATAGATGATTCTATAGAGGTAATGATACTTGATAAAGTGGAATAGTAAAACATAATTCATTAGCCAAGTCATTTTTTTAAACCTGAAAAGAAATTCATTAAAAAAGGAAAAAGGAATCGCCTGCAAACAAAATAACAAAACAGAATTTCTAGGGAGGAGAAATGAAATAAGCCATCCAAGATACAAGATGAAACTGCCACAATATCTCCCCAATTGTTCCTCAAACCTTCCTAGAAACTTGAATAAATTCTAGAGATGACGAAATCCAAACTGCAACCTATATGTTAACATTTTGCTGAGTATATCGTAGAATGTAGATTCCAGAACGGTACCTGTCTATTTAGATTTCTGATTGGAGAAGCTAAAGCTTTCTTGGGCAATCTGAACTGCTCATTCAGATGGGTGTCAATGTGTTCAAAAGGTTGCCTTATTAGATTTTCTCTCCTTCCATGCAATCAGTAGAAAACCTTAAGTACAATGGAGATCCAGTGGATGCTGGGATGATCAGGGGCAAATTTGTGGTTTTCTTTTGAGGGGATGAGGGGATGGAAGGGGAAGGACTAACACTATTTAAGGAGCATCAATCATGAGTTTGCTAAGGGCATTTCTAAATTCCATCTCACATGTTCTTTCTGCCTTTTTGGACGTTGATTGTGCAGACTACATTGCATAATCAAACAATTTTCTTTCAATACCAATAAAGATCTCAAATGACATATTTTACCCCAAGCTTCCATTCCATTCTGGATCTTGTAACTGGTGGTCTGTGCTTGTCTCTCATTTCAAGTGAGACTATGACATATTGGCCTTTTCAGTTAATATATTTTTATAATCCATGCAGGTTAGTGTTTTGTGAAGAATTTCACATAATTTATTTGTGATACACTATATTCTGAAAACTCTATTTGTTTCTTTTATTTTCTTACAGAAATACCAGATAATGCATATATTGAATATTTTGCCCCAGAATACTCATTGAAGATTCCAACTGGAAACATGGTAGGCAATTTTTTCCCCATGAAGTCATTGGAATGAAATGGTTTACAATTTTAATCTTACTCCCCTCCACCTGTTGTTTGAGGGTAAATAAGATTTGGGCACATCTCACTATTGATGAAGGGGAATGCCCCTAATGATTAGCCAAAAGATACATGTTTTATAAGACAATGATACCCCTATGTATTATTGATTTTTATCAATATAAACAAGGGTTTCTTTGTGTTTTCACGGGGGACGTGCCTGGTCTATAAAAATGGGATGTGCCCTAATCAATTCTCTAAAAAAATCTTGGAAAATTAATTTGTTGACTTTATTGTGTACAAAAGTTGGGGTTAACATTTGTACTTGGGATACAATGAGATTGACTTTCTTTTAAGATAGTTTGCTAATGACATCTTAACTCATTACTTTTTTTATTGTTGGAGCAGGACAACTTAAATAGCAAGTCCTATCTTGGCACAATCAAAATGCAAGTGTTGGAAAATTTACGTTGCATCCAACATGCTCCAAGTGTACAAATGCAAGAGGTAAATTTGTGTATGACGAGGTTGAAAATATTCAATTTCTTTATTGTGTTTTCATTCTCCTTTTTTTCTATCATTTTTTTATTTCCTGGTGTTTTTGCATCTTTTGGCTGGCAAAATGTGATATACCAAAAGCAAACTCCATATACAAAATGTATGGAATTAAAGAGCATCATTCTTAGGTAAATGCCATGTTCCTTAATTAATGTTAAAAACTATGGATTTTTTGGAAGACATCCCAATTGCTTGTTTGGCTGATCTTGCCATGTTTCGTGGTTCTTGGTATTGTCATCAACTTAGGAACATTGCATTTACCCAAGAATGTGATGGGTTCTTGGTGCAATGAATAATTTGATGTCTTATACTTGCCACCCCTCGCCCCAATAAAAAAAAAAGAGACAATTAATACTTGTCTCTATTTGCAAAAAATGGATTATATGAGGTTTATTGTATCATGATGTCTGATGAACTTATCCATCTTCAGATGTTATTTATGGCTGAAAACTCCAGTTAAGAGAGAAAAAGCAGTATGAGTTTGCCATAAATAAAGAGAATGAGAGGAATTCCATTACTTGGTTGCAATGAAAAATCAATTTCTTTTTGCCAATTAGTTCCATTTCACCTCCAAACAGCACCAAACAAACTTCTTTGGAAAGACATAAGAAAATGAACTGAGATCGAGTAATCCTTTACAAGGGCTGAACTTTTAGCATTACAACTTGCAAGGATTGAGATTGAGAAATCTTCAACTAGAGGATTATTGTGGTAGAAGGAGACTTCAAGGTGATGGTTGGTTGGGTTAAAAATGACAATTTAGGATCTTGTCTGTCTGCTAGCCAATATTTTGGCTAGACAAGGAGTGCAAAGAAATGAGTTTTGGGGACTTATTCTCCTAGAAAACTGTGTGGAAATTGTAAATAAGGGTGAAGAGGTTTAGGTGGCTGGATCCAACCCAAGTCTATGTAAGGGTTCCTAGGCACACTTTTGTCTACTTGTACAAACGATAAAGTTTGATTTTTACTGGTAAAAAAGAAAAAGAAGAAATAAAAGGAGAGATAATCCCTAGAATCATTATAGGGTTCCTAAAGACCACTTTAAGGCATCTATATAAGGGTTCCTAGAACCATTTTCATTCTCTTTATCATTCATGAGATTAAAAGAGTTTTAAGGAAGCAGTTGGTATGTGGAGATGTTTAATGGCCATTTGGTCTGGTCTCCCAGTTTTGCAGAAACTTAAATGACTGGGAACTGACTTTCCTTCTTGCTGGGCAGATTGTATGAGGTGAAGGTTAAAACCAATTCTACTTCTTTTGTCAATCAAATCATGCTACTTTACACTTCTGGGGTCCTTTGATAACGTTGCTTTGTCTTGGATGTGGAAGTCTAAGGTACCCTTTCATTTTCTTTGTGTGGCTGGTTGGGAGAGGAAGGATTCAGAGTGGGGATACCTTAGCTAGGAGGGGTGTAATATTGAATGCTTGCTGTAGTCAGTGTGGGCTGTCTGATGAGACTGTTCACCACCTGCTCATGCACTGCCCTATCGTGGAAAAACCCAAGAAAAGCAGTTTCGAATGGCACCCAAAATGAAAGTAAAACAGGGATGAGGAGAAGCAAGCATAGAGAACACATAGATTTACGTGGTTCGACTTATAGCCTATGTCCACAGGTGAAGGAGGAGCAGAAATCCACTATGTAGTCAGCAGGAGAAGAAATACAGAGTTGTGCACTCACAACCTCACTCACAGAAACCCTAAACCCCAAATACACCCAATGTCTCCCTCTTCTCTCACAAGACAAAGACTTAAGTATACAAGAGAGAAAACCCCCGAAATACACAATTCTTCATATTCGGTTTGGACCTATAATCTGAATATGGATCAGGTCCATACCGCGGCCCAAGCCCTACGCTTCCATCACAAACACAATTCTTCATATTTGGTTTGGACCTATAATCTGAATCTGTAGTACCAATCTTCTTCACAATGCTATCTCCTTGTTCTACAACATCACGAATAAAATGGTATTGCACATCAATGTGTTTCGTCTTCTCATGGTACATTTGATCCTTGGTCAGATGAATAACACTCTGACTATCTCAATAGATGACAGTTGCCTTTGGACCCAAATTGAGTTCACCAAACAAACCTCTTAACCCAATAGCTTCTTTAACTGACTCAATTACTACTATATACTCGGCCTTAGTAGTAGATAAAGCAACTGTAGACAATAAGTAGCTTTTCAACTAACAACACAACCGCCAATAGGAAATACATAACCTATGAGTGACCTCCTCCTGTCAGCATAATTTGAATCAACATAACCCATCAAACTGTCATTGCTCCTCCCAAACTCCAAACAAGAATCTGATGTTCCTTTTAAGTATCTGAGAATCCACTTCATAGTCTTCACTACCTTCCAATGTGTATTGTTAGGACATGACATATATATGCTCACCACACTAACTACATGTGAAATGTCAGGTCGTGTGCAAACCATAGCATACATAATACTCCAAACTGCACTGGAATAAGGGACATCTGACGTATATCTTTCTTCTTCATTTGTCTGTTGTGATAAATTAGTTGAAAGTCTGAAGTGTGCTGCAAGAGGAGTACTTACTGGTTTAGCATCTTTCATGCCAAAATGCTTTAAAACCTTCTCAAAATACTTCTGTTGTGTGAAATATAACTTCCCTGCTTTTTGGTCCCTTTGAATTTCCATGCCAAGAATTTTCTTTGCTGCACCCAAATCTTCCATTTCAAACTCACCACTCAACTATGTTTTTAATCTGTTGATCTTAGTTAGTTCTCTTGCTGCAATAAGCATATCATCAACATAAAGCAACAACTAAACAAAAGAATCTGCAAGTTTCCTGAAATAAACACAACTATCATACTTGCATATGGAATACCCAAGAGCCACCATAAAAGAGTTAAATCTTCTATACCATTGTCCAGGAGACTGTTTTAAGCCATACAGAGATTTTTTTATTGATAAAAAAAAATATATATATTTTTTTTAACAAGCAAACATGGTCTTCCTTCCCTTCAACAACAAACCCTTTGGTTGATGCATATAAATCTGTTCATCAAGTTCTTCATGCAAGAAAAGTTTTAACATCTAACTGTTTTAATTCCAAATTATTCATGGCAATTAAAGTAAGAAAAACATGAATGGAGCTATGTCTAACAACTAGTGAGAAAACATCATTAAAATCAGCACCTTATACCTGACTGTAGCCTTTTGCAACCATTCATGCCTCATATCTAGCATCCTCTACACTTGGAGTACCTTCTTTCCTTTTGAAAACCCATTTGCATCCAACAATCTTCTTTCCTTTAGGTGGTCTTACCAACTCTCAAGTCTGGTTCTTATGCAAGAATTCAATCTTTTCATGCATAGCTGTCAACCACTTAGCAGAATCAACAAATGAGATAGCTTCTGCATAAGTATTAGGTTCTACAACATCAACATTCTCTGCAACTGACATTGCATAGGCAACCAGATCAGCATAACCATATCTTTGAGGTAGTTTAACCTCTCTCCTTGTTTTGCCTCTAGCAATAGAATATTGCTCCTCTTCTTCCTCTTGTACAAATTCTTCTATCTCAGTAGAAATGGGCACCTAAACTAATGTAAACTGAGGTGAAAGCATAACAAGAAATGGAAGACTCCTTTATCGGGTGAAGCATAACAGACTCATCAAAAGTAACATCTTTGCCAACTATGAATTTTTCTGATTTAGGATCAGGACACCACAATCTGTATCCCTTCACACCTGAAACATAACCAAGAAATATGCACTTCTTGGCCCTAGGCTCAAGCTTGCCTTCATTAACATGTGCAAATGTTGGACAACCAAATATTTTCAAATTTGACTAGTTAGGAGGGTTGCTAGACCATACCTCTTTTCGAGTCTTACACTTAATGGCAGTAGATGGAATTTAATTTACTAGGTGACAAGCCATATTAATTGCTTCCGCCCAACAATCCTTGGAGAGACCAGCATTTGACAACATGCACCTTGGTCTCTTTAGTAGAGTTCTGTTCATATGTTCTGTAACTCCATTCTGTTGTGGTGTTTTGACAACAGTACGGTGTGCCTTACAATGCCTTCATTTTTGTAGAACTCATTAAATTCATTTTCACAATCAGTCCCCTTTCACTCTTATGTCCTAGTCTCATGTGCCATAACTTGGTGGTGTCAGACTTAGATAGGGATGAGGTAAAAATTGCAATTGAACCTGTGATAGTAGTACGTTATAGCACATACAGACTTCCTATCTTCATGCCTTTCATCATAACAAGAGCACCCTTACTGACTTTCAAAACTCCACCTTCAGCTGAATACTTACACCCATTAGCATCTAGAGTGCTAAGAGAGATGGGAATTTTCTTTAAGCTCGGTACATGCCGTACGTTTGCCAATGTTCTCGCAACACCATCATGCATAGGTGGAGAACCAGTCCCTGTTGGGACACATATGGTAGGAACAACCCGAACGCAGAATCCTTTCATCCTTGGATTTGGTTTTGTCATTTGTCACTAAGAGAACATCAACATTCTCATCCTCAGCCACACTAGCCTCTTCATTCTTGGTTTTGTTTTTCAACATATAACATTTTGTATTAATGTGTCCTTTCTTGTGACAATAGTTGCAGGTCAAGTTCTTATGTCTAGATTTTGATCTAGACTTAGGTTTACTATTTGAGCGCATATCCTTAGACCTTCCTCTTGCAAGCAATCTAGAGTCCTGACTATCACCCCTATTTATAGTCAAGTCTTTATTATTCACTTCTTTAGAGAGTAATGATTTTTTATCATCCTCTGTACTAATGGTGTCTCTTCCATAGATGAGAGACTCTCTGAAAGACTTATATGAGGGTGGTAAGGAACAAAGTAACAAAAGGGCTTGGCCTTCATCTTCAACCTTAACATTAGTATTTTGCAAATCCATGATAATAGAGTTAAATTCATCAATATGAGATTTGATAGGTGTACCT